AAAGGAAAAAAAAAAAAAAAAAAAAAAAAAAAAAAAAAAAAAAAAAAAAAAAAAAAAAAGAACCTGAATGAGCAAAGGCATGACAAGAAAGGAGACCAACTGAATCTAGTACAGTTATTTGGAAACTAAAAGAACCTCAAAAATCAGGGAAACAATTGGAAAAATTGGAAGACTTTCTACTACTGTAGATGGTGGCTCCCTAAATATGGGTTGTACTGAGGACTCAGGACAGCAATAGATAGAGGGGGCAGGCTATGGACCCTCACGAGGCATTAGGAAGCTTGTTCACATGGCCTTAAGCCTCTCTGGGCTGAACACAGCACAGGGTAAAGCATCTCCCTGAATCATCAACCTGATTAAGTGTGGCCACACAACTGTAAAGCTCTACCTCCTACCGTTCTATGACATAAAAGTTGTCTCCATCATCTCCTTGGTCAATGACATGCTCATCAACTTTGACTATCCTTTCAAACATGGCATCGAGGACTTGAGAAAGCTGTTCCTGCAGGGTACATACAAGAAAAAAAGATTGCTTTTATATTTGCTGAGGAAAAAAAACAATGACCATGCTTTATCTCAATTTGTGACAATATAATAGAAGCCCCCACACCAGACTACTCCCCATATTCAGCAGAAACCTAAGGGCCATCTGAAACAAACGCTTTCCTGGGACCATTCAGCTTCACACTCCCATGAAATTAAACAGACGCACAATTGCCAAGTCTTTTGAGGCAGTACTACTTTGAAAAAGCTTTCCACAACCTACACAAAACAGGTCTCCCAAATCATGGTCTCCATTCTCTCAGCTGCACCCACATGACTGTCACCTGTCTTAATGGCTCCATCGTGTCATGTATAAAGCCATGTGCTGCCATCTTCCTACAGGAGTTGACTGTAACAGGATCATCAAATTTAAAGGGCTGTGATGGCCTTGGAAGTTATCTTGTGGAACAGCACAACTGCCTCTGACTAGCCATGCACATCACTTAACCCCTCTGAGCTTCAGTTTCTTCATATGTAAAAAAGATATAATACATTTTCTAGTTTATCAATTTTTATTCACTAAAGAAGAGAAATCTAAGTAAATTATTTACCACACAACAGGTACTCAATAAATGGAATCTATTATCAGACAGCTAATATTGCTTCATTTATGTAAAACACATATAATTACTTACCAATATTACCTGCCATAAACAGAAAGCAATGGTGCTGATAAGTATAATGAAAATAAAAAAATTCTATAAATTTTAATGAAATGGTGGTCTCAGCCTGGGGCCAGTGTCCCTCTGTCAGACAGAGAGATCAGTAATTAATTGTTAGGGGGGCACTAAAGAATACCAACTTTAACTCAAAAAGAGACTTTCTCTTTGGAGGAATGTAGATTGAGGACCTGGCAAAGGAATAATTTTCTTGCTGCATAATTCCATGTGATTTAATGTTCTGTCAGAGTAATTGTGCTACCTAAAATAACTGAGTATCAACAAAAAGCATCTTTAGTTCTATTTGCGTTGAATACTGTACAAGCTGACAAATACTAAAATGGATGTCTTGCTACTCACATGCCATCCACATTCATGTGGAATGTAAGCCCAGTGTTGCCAGAAATCTCCTATGTAAATACTGGCAATAAATTCAAATTTTCACTTATAATACAGACCAAACGCACACATCTGTACCCGGCCTGTGGGCTGTCTGTTGGAAGCCTCTTGTTCTGAGTAACTTTTCTTCTTCTGGACTCTTCAAAAACATCAGTGTTATGGGATAGAGAATACAGTAGGAGGAAGAGAAGCATTCTAGGTTAGAGGGGATTAAAATGACACTATGACAACCAAATGAAATATGTGATTCAGAGTTGAAAAATAAAACAAAAAAGCTGTACAGAACTTTACTGAGGAAATCTGAATATGGACTGTATATTACGGGATATTATTATACAACATTAAATTTCTTGGGTTTTTTAATGTGTTAATGTAGAAAAATACCCTTGTTCTTGGAAAATACATCCTAAAATATTTAGAGGTAAAAAGTTATATAGTCTTAAACATATTCATAAATGGCCCAGACCAAAAGAAAAGCAGTTTCTATATACTTTCTCTTCTCTTTGTACACAAGCTCACACACAAGAGAAAAAATAAATGTGACGAAAGGTTAAACAACTGGTCAGTCTGAGTAAAGGGTATGTGGGTGTTCATGGTACTATTTTTTTCCCCCAAGCATTTCATTTCATTTATTTATTTATTTATTTTGGTACTACTCTTTTGACTTTTCTGTAAATTTGAAAATTTTAAAATAGAATTTGGGAAATAAATTAGAAAATTTGAAACAAATACACTCACCAGAATAACTAAGTTCAAAAGACTGATAATATAAAATGTGGTAAGGATGTGGAGCAACCGGAAACCTCATACATCGTTGGTAGGAATGCAAAATGGTGCAACCACTTTGAAAAAGATGTCGGATTTTTAAAAATAAATTCAAACATGTACCTACCCTACAACTTAGCAATTTGCTCTCAGGAATTTTACTGAAAAGAAATGGAGAAGGGCCGGCCCGGTGGCGCACTGGAGAGTGCGCCGCTTGGGAGCGCGGTGGCGCTCCTGCCGAGGGTTCGGATCCCATGTGGAGACCGGTTCCCGCTCACTGGCTGAGCGCGGTGCGGGCGCAACACCGAGGGTTGCGATCCCTTTGCCGGTCCCCGGTATGGGCGCGACACCGAGGGTTGCGATCCCGTTACCGTTCAGTAAAAAAGACAAAAAGGAAAAAAAAAAAAAAAGAAATGGAGAAAAAATTTCACAAAAAGACCTGTACAAAATGTTCATAGCATTATTCATAATAGCTAAAAACTAGAAACAGACCAGGTATCCATCAACAGAAAAATGGATAAACTAGTATTTTTGTACAATGGAATACTACTCGGCAATAAAAGGAATAAACTAACATCACTAGCTATAAGACAAACTGACATCATGAACCCCTTGATATGATGCTCTAGAACACAATATAATTTCTGTGGTAGTCTGGCCAAAAATGTATAACTATAGTCCAAAATCACGAGGAAACTTCATACAAACTCAGATTGAAGGACATTTTATAGGATAACTAGTACTCTTCAAAGTATCAAGATCATGAAAGATTACTGAAGGACTGAAAACTGTCACAGTTTGGAAGAGACTAAGAAGAAATAACACCTAAATGTAATGTGGGACCTTGGATATAGGACCTTGGACTGGATCCTTAACCAGAAAAAAGACATTGGTAAGAAAACCAATTTGAATAAGGTGAAATTGGAATAAGGTTTGTACTTTAATGTATAGTATTACAACAATGTTAATTTCTTGGTTTTGTAATATGGTTATGTAAGATGTTAATATTGGGGGAAATTGGATTATGGGTATACGGGAACTCTGTACTATTTTTACAACTTTTCTGAGTCTAAAATTAGTTCAAAATAAAATATAAAAAAGGGCCAGCCCATGGCTCACCTGGGAGAGTGTGGTGCTGATAACACAAAAGCCACGGGTTCGGATCCCTGTATAGGGATGGCCGGTTAGCTCACCTGGGAGAGCGTGGTGCTAACAACACCAAGTCAAGGGTTAAGATCCACTTATCAGTCATCTTGTAAAGTAAAAAGTAAAGTAAAAAATAATAATAATAAAAAATAAAATAAAATAAAAATAAATAAATAAAATGTAAAAAAAAGAAAAAAGAATGAATTACTGATATATGCAATAATGTGCATAAACCTCAAAAACATTGCGCTGAGTGAAAAAAGCCTCACACAAAAGACTATATACTATAAGATTCCATTTATATGAAATTCTAGAACAGATAAAACTAATCTAATTGTAGAATAAGTCAAAATAGTAGTTGCCTCTGGAGGGAGAGGGGCAAGAATTGATCAGCAAGATACATGAGGAATGCCTTTTTGGAGTGGTGGCAATGTTCTGTATCTTGGTAAGAGTAGGTTACCTAAGGGCATGCATTTGCCAAACCCCAGCTAATGCACACTTAAGATATGTGCATTTCATTGGGCCAGCCCAGTGGCGCACTGGAGAGTGCGCCACTTGGGAGTGCGGCAGCGCTCCCGCCGAGGGTTCGGATCCCATGTGGAGACCGGTTCCCGCTCACTGGCTGAGCGCGGTGCGGGCGCAACACCAAGGGTTGCGATCCCGTTGCCGGTCAGTAAAAAAAAAAAAGACAAAAAGGAAAAAACAAAACAAACAAACAAAAAAAACTTTACATTGAAAAACTAAACAGATATTGAATTCATGATATGCATGTTAAAGTATTTAGAGAAAAGTATACCGATATCTATGATTTACTGTAAAATGCATCCCACCCCCCCAACCCCCCACCCCATCCCCGCCTCAGTAAGATGGGTTAAAGCAGGCGTCGGCAGACTGCCACCTACTTTTATAAAGAATGTTTTACTGAAACAGAGCCACACCCTTTCGTTTATGTATTGTCTATTGCTGATTTCCGCTACAAAGACAGAGTTAAGTAGTTGTAACAAATATTTATTATCTGCCTCTTTGAAAAAAGTTTGCTGACCCCTTGCTGAGGGATGGGTAGAGAGTATATGACAGAGCAGGCAAAGTAAAGTGTTAATGCTGGAATCAAGGCAGTGGACATACACATGTTCCTGTAAAATTCTTTCAATTTTGGTGTATGTTTGAATATTTGGGGGATAAAATGTTAGAAAAATATAACTGAATTTAAAATTCAGTCATTTTACAACATTAAAATGGTAAAACAGTTGATACAGTTTGGATATGTTTGTCACTGCAAAGCTCATGTTGAAATCTGATCCCCAGTGTAGGTGGCAGCATTGGAAGGTACAGTAGATTAATACTCTGGGGGCAGGGGTTGGGTGGTGATGGAGTTTGGATGTTTCGTCCCCTCCAAAACTCATGTGGAATTTTGATCTCCAATGTGGCAGTGTTGGAAACTGATTGAGTCATGGGGGCGGATCCCTCATGAATGGATTAATGCTCTCCCTGTGGGAAGGGGGATTAATGAGTGAGTTCTCACTCTCTTAGTTCCTGTGAGAGCTCGTTGCTTAAAAAGACCCTGGCACCTTCTCTCTCTCTCTTGCTTCCTCTCACCATGTGATCTGCTTGTACCCGCCAGCTGCCTGCCACTTTTCCACCATGAGTAGAAGCAGCCTGAGGCCCATGCCAGATGCGGCTGGTCCCGAATCGTAAGCCAAATAAACCTCTCTTCTTTATAAGTTACCCAGTCTCAGGTATTCTGTTATAGCAACACAAAACAGACTAAAACAGGTGGTGAGTGAGTTCTCCTTTATAAGTTCCCTGGAGAGCTGGATGTTAAAAGGAACCTGGAACCTCACTTCCTTTTTTCTCTCTTGCTTCCTTCTCTCTTTTTTTTTTTTGTCCTTTTTGAGACCGGCCGCACCGTGCTCAGCCAGTGAGCACTGTGAGCGCATTGCTTCCTTCTCTTGTCATGTGATCTCGTTGCACAAGCTGGCTGCCCTGCTGCCTTCTGCCATGAGTGGAAGCAGCCTGCGACTCGTGCCAGACACAGCTGCCCCAGAATCCTGACCCCGATAAACCTCTTTTCTTTATAAATTACCCAGTCTTAGGTATTCTGTTATAGCAACACAAAATGGACTAACACAGCAGTGTTCTCCAACATTAAGAAAACTCAATATTAGACTGACATAGAAATTTCCCTTTTAACAACTCTGGCTGTATAAAATTTACAGAAGGCTTTTTATTCACAGTAGATAAAGAAGCGGGTCCCTTTTCCATTTATATGGATGATTTCAGGGAAAACAGATGACACAGACCAGAGTTTCTCAACCAGCCTTCCTTGAGCTCATGGTTCTTGTTTTATTCCATTTCAACTAACAAACTCTGAGTAAAGGTCTGGCTATTCCTGTAACCACAGAGCTACCAAACAGATACAGCTACATACAGACACTAGGGATGGTTGATTCCCTTGACCGATACATCAAGAGCTCATGTCTGACCAGCCAAATTCCCAGGGAAGGCTGTGCAGATGTCTCCAGACGCCTATTTTACAGGAGCTGGGTAGTAGTAGAATTCTAATCCAACTTCCTGTCTCTGCACATCCTGGGATTCCCCAATAGGCCCAGGATCCCAACCATTCATGTGGCTTTAGTGTGGCCTTCAAAGTAGTAGAGAAACAGGAAGTCTGAATATTCCCTATTGCTATAAGCTGAATGTTTATGGCCCCCCAAAATTCATATGTTAAAACTTAACTCTCAGTGTGATGGTATTAGGCGGTAGGGCCTTTTGGAGGGGATTAGATCATGAGGGTGAAGCACTCATGAATAAGATTAGTGCCCTTATAAAAGAAACCCCAGAGAGCTCCCTCCCTCCTTCTATCATGTGAGTACCAGAGAGAAGATGGCCATCTATGAACCATGAAGTGGGCCCCTCACCAGACACTGAACCTGCTAGCACTCTGATCTTGGACGTCCAGGCCTCCAGAACTGTAAGGAATAAATTTCTAATGTTTACATGCCACCCAGTATCTAATATTTTGTTACAGCAGCCCAAATGCAATAGGACCCCTATCCTCATGAGTTAGCCCTAGCTCTTTATCTCTACCACCAAGACAGGGATGACAGGCCCAGTCCAAAGATCCTAGGACAGGCCCTGCAGACAGACATCACTCACAAGAAGTGCCCCACACCTGAGGTCTTCACTGAGATGCAGTCACAAGAGGGACCCAATATCTAAGAAGCAACTACACACTTTCAGTGGGTTAACTGCTACTGGAGAAAAGGACTACACATGAGCATCTTCAAAAAAATTAATCTCTTTGCAGCACAAATTCAGACCCTCAAGAACTAAGACAGGGTCATGCAAATCTGAGCATTTCCTTGCAACATGACCAGATCACATGGTTCTCGAATTACCAGTATTGTCTGGGAGAAAGTGCCAAAGCAGTTCAGAAAAATGCTAAAAGGCATTTGAAAAATCATGTCTGGGTTATAGTGGTCACCACAATGAAAAAATCTGTAAGTAAGACAAATCTAAACTTTTATGCTTCATATAACTGTGGCTAAGATGCTAAAAACTGTTTAAATAACAAGTAGGAAGAAAGCTAAAAGACCATCAAAACAAGAATATTTTAAAAATCAATGTTACATTCAGATCCTCATATCGACCAGCTGCCAAAGGCAAAATAAACAAACAAAAATCAGTGTTACCTGATCAAGATTTTTGAAAAGGAGAATATCTTTGCAAGCCTCCTGAAGTCTGCATCTCTGTTCATCAGTTTTAGGATGAATCACCTGCCAATCCAAATAAAACCAGGGAAACTTTTTAATTCCATTTAAAAATTACCCACTTAAAAGCTGGTATATTTCTTTCCCTTAAAGTGGAAAAAATTGAAAGCACGTTTTCTATAATTTAAATTCTACAAATACCAAGCAGTACATTGAATGTGGAGGGGCAATATGATATAGCGGTGGAGAGCGCCAACCCTAGAGCCATCTGCTGGCTGTGTGATTAGCAGCAAGTCAGCTGTCCCCTAGGAGCCTCAGGGTCTTCATCCATAAAGCACACTGATATATATTTGTTCATTCAACAAATATTGAGCACCTACTCTGTGCCAGGCCCTATCCCAGCTCTAGGAACAAAACAGAGAATACAGACAAAAAAACTTGCCCTGAAATTCAATAAATTTATAAATATATTAGAGAGTGATAAGGCTAAGGAGAAAAGTAAGACAGGGAAGGGAGAAAAGAAGAGTGTGTGTGTATGAAGAAAGGGACAGAGGGAGAGAGAGAGGACAGACAAAAAAACTTGCTCTGAAATTCAATAAATTTATAAATATATTAGAGAGTGATAAGGCTAAGGAGAAAAGTAAGATAGGGAAGGGAGAAAAGAAGAGTGTGTGTGTATGAAGAAAGGGACAGAGGGAGAGAGAGAGGAGATGGAGGGGGAGAGAGAGAGAGGAAAGAAGAAGAAGGGAGGGAAAAAAGGAGGGAGGAAAGATGGAAGGGGGAAGGGGAAAGAAAGAAAGAGAGTGAGAGTGTGTGTGTGTGTGTGTGTGTGAATGAGTGTGTGTGTGAGTGTGTATGTGTATGTGTGTGTGTCCAGGTGAGACCTCACTGAGAAAGTGACATTTGTGTAAAGATCTCAAGGAAGTGAATACAATCTGAGAAAATGAATCATGTGGATATCTCTGTGAAAAGAGTACCCCAAGCAGAGAAAACAGCAAGAGAAAACAGGGCTCTATGGTGGGAGCATAAACAGCATGTTTGAAAAATAACCAGGAGGCAGGTATGGCTGGTACAGAGTGAAGGGTCAAGATCAGGTGGAGACTGGGTTGGGGGGGGGGAGATGCTCAAATCAGAGAGGGCATTGTAGGTCACGAAAGAACTGGACCTTGCTCTAGCAACATGGGGGTGATTTGAGGGTTCTGACTGAGGAAGGAAAGATATGACTGTTTTTAAAGGATCACAGTGGCTGCTGAGTGAAGAACAGCCTGGAAGAAGGCAAAAGTGAAAGCCAGGAAGCTACAGCTACTCCCAGTGCCAGATGGTGGTGATTTGGACCAGGGTGATAGCATAGAGTTGTTGAGAAGTAGTAAAATTCTGGATATGTTTTCAAGACAGAGCCTATTGGATTTACTGAAAAATTATGTGTGGATATGAAAAAATGACAGGAGTTGAAAGTGACCCCAAAGTTTTGGGCCTGTGCAAATGGAAGTATGGAACTGCCATGAATTAAACTGGAGAAGACTGTGGGTGGAGAAGAATATTTAAAGGGAAATAATCATGAGGTCATTTAAGTTTGAGTTGTCTATTGACATCTAAGTGGAGATGGTAATTAAACAATACAAGGCCTAGAGTCCAAACATCAACAACTTATTTTATCAGCGGTAGTAGTAGTGGTATCTAACAAATTAGGGTTGTCATAAGGATTAAATAAGTTAGTATACGCAGTGTTTAAAATAGTGCCTTGCATTTAATAGGTGCTCAAAAACTATTACTATTACTATAATTATGGATAATAAATGTTTATTGAAATAAAAAAAATTATTGCCTAATATTGGTATTGTAATTGAGAGACCTATCAAGCTCCTTCCTAAGTATTGTCTTCACCCCCCCAAAAAGGTACATCATTTAATATGACCAGAAATAACAGACGTCAAAAGTGCTAAGTATTTTAAATTTGTGATATTAAATTTTTTAAAAACTTTAAAGTTTTTGGGCCGGCCCGTGGCTCACTTGGTAGAGTGCGGTGCTGATAACACCAAGGCCACGGGTTCGGATCCTATATAGGGATGGCCAATTTGCTCACTGGCTGAGCGTGGTGCTGACAACACCAAGCCAAGGGTTGAGATCCCCTTACCGGTCATCTTTATAGAAAAAAAAAAAAAAACCTTTAAAGTTTTAAGTCATAAAGAATTTTATGATATCCAGAATAAAAAAATTTTTAATCAACATGTCTGTTATACTCACATAATGGTAACATTTTATTATTAGAATACTACAGAAATCTCATTTTAAGGTATACATGATAGATGATCAACGTTTCTTTTATAATATCAATGTTTTTAAAATAATGGTTCATATTTGCTTTTACAAAAGTAATTTATGTTAATTGTACAAAGGTTTAAAAAAACTTGAGTTTTTTAAAAAGGCACCCCAAAATCAACCATGGTCCTGCCACAACCATTCTTAACATCTAGGGTATACCCTTTCAGATATAATTCTCTGTACATATGTACAAATAAATAAATAGGTATATTTTTCAAATGTTTTTTTATCTTACAAAATGCTCTATAAATTGTACCTCATACAAACATACACCCTATGCCATTAGATCCAGCCCTGTACCATCATTTTCAATAGCTGCAGATTCTCTTAATTTGAATGTACCAAAATTTAGCCCCTGGTAATCCCTTGTTTTGGGTTACTTAGGTTATTTCCATTTTTCACTATTACAACACTGCAGTGATCTCTGTTTGTATATCCTTGGGAAGGATCCAACTGCTCAGTAGGGATAAATTCTCCTTTAGGTAACTGCTGAGTCAGTTGTCTTGACTATGTTTAGGGCTCCTGACATCTACAGCTAGGTACCCATTCTCACTATACCTGACAGCTACAGACAGGCACCCATTCTCACCATACCTTCAACCAGTGCTGCTTCCAATCTGTTAGACAAAAAATGGCATCTTGTTGAGATTTTTAATTTGTATTTATTTTAATTATCAGCATGATTAGATTTTGGTGTGTAGAAGAGGGGAGTCATTGAGAAATACAACAATTCTATCTAAAACCTTTGCTTTAGTTTTTTTTCTTTTTTTTTAAATGACCAGTAAGGGGATCTTAACCCTTGACTTGGTGTTGTCAGCACTACACTCTCCCAAGTAAGCTAATTGGCCATCCCTATATAGGGATCTGAACCCGTGGCCTTGGTGTTATAAGCACCACACTCTCCCAAGTGAGCCACGGGCCGGTCCTCTTTGCTTTAGTTCTTACCCTTGGATCAGTATCTTCCTCTTCCTCATCAGGGTTATAGGTCTCAGCACAGACTAAAATTGGAGAGAAAAAATAAAGAGAAGAATGAATTTAACAAATGTGTGGTGTTAGGAAAAATAGGAAGTGAACAATTTCCTTTTATATTCACTGTATTCTAAAGTTGTAATGATTTCGTAACTCCTTCTTTCAATCAATAAATATGAGGTACTTCAAACAGTTCGTGGAAAAATGGAATTAAAAGATAAAAATAAAATATATAAACTTTATTTCTCAACATAAGCTCTATTAAGTTCAAGACATTTGTGTAAGCAATATATCAGCCATTCAATCCATCCCCAAAGAACTGAGGGTCCTGGAAATTTAACCATATCAATGCAGTCTTTTTTACATTTTGGGGGGGGGAGCAGCTAGCTGGTACAAGGATCTGAACCCTTGACCTTGGTGTTATCAGCACCAGGCTCTTCAAGTGAGCTAAACAGCCAGCACATTTTTACATTATTAACTGAAGAAAAATGAATGTCCTTTAAAGATTTTTTAAGATTAAGAAACAAAAAGAAGTCAGAAGGAGTCAAATCAGGACTATAAGGGGGATGCCTAATGATTTCCCATTGAAACTCTCACAAAATTGGCCCTGTTTGATGAAATGAGTGAGAGCATTGTCGTGGTAGAGAAGGTCTCTCTAATGAAGCTTTCTCAGGCATTTTTCTGCTAAAGCTTTGACTTTCTCCAAACACTCTCATAACAGATATTATCATTCTTTGGTCCTCCAGAAAGTCAACAAGCAAAAAGCCTTGAGCAAACCCAAAAACTGTTGCCTGCCATGTCTTCTGCTCTTAAATGGTCTGCTGTTGCTCTGACTGGACTGCTTCCGCCTCCTGTTAGCCATGGCTTTGATTGTGCTTTGTCTTTAGGATCTTACTGGTAAAGCCATGTTTCATCTCCTGTTACAATTCTTCTTCTTCTTTTTTTTTTTTTTAAAGATGACCGGTAAGGGGATCTTAACCCTTGGCTTGGTGTTGTCAGCACTACGCTCAGCCAGTGAGCGAACCGGTCATCCCTATATAGGATCTGAACCCATGGCCTTGGTGTTATCAGCAGCACAGTCTCCTGAGTGAGCCATGGGCTGGCTCCTATTACAGTTCTTCAAAGAAATGCTTCAGGATCTTGATCCCATTTATTTAGAATTTCCATTGAAAGCTCTGCTCTTTGCAAGTGATCTGGGGTGTAACAGTTCTGGCATCCACTAAGTGGAAAGTTTGCTCAACTGCAATTTTTCAGTCAGAACTATAAGCTGAACCAATTGAGATGTCTATGGTGGGGTTATTGTTTCTGCTTTGTTAGTCCTTTTCAATTGGGTCATGAACAAGATTAATTTTTTCCTCGCAAATTGATGTGGATGGTCTGCCACTGTGGGCTTCATCTTCAGCATCAACTTGTCCCTTCTTAAAATGAGTTATCCATTTGTAAACTGATGATTCCTTTGGGGCGATGTCCCCATAAACTTTTTGTAAAGCATCAATGATTTCACCGTTCTTCCACCCAAGCTGAATCACCATAAATTTGATGTTTGTTCTTGCCTCAATTTTAGCAAAATTCATGCTGCTCTGATAGGAGCTCTCTTCAAATTGATGTCTTATACTTCTTAGTGTCTCAAACGAGATCCTGTTCAGATATGTCAAACAGGTTAGTACAAGTTTATTTTGGTGCAAAGAAAAAAAAATTGAGATCCATGCATAGTTTTTTCATAATACATATTTTCCATGAACTTTTGAAGACTCCTTGTATATGAAATACCTACTACAAAACCCAGCTCTCTAGACATTAGTGGTCCCAAATAGAAGAGAGACAATGAAATATATCACTAAGCTGAACCAATTGAGATGTCTATGGTGGGGTTATTGTTTCTGCTTTGTTAGTCCTTTTCAATTGGGGCATGAACAAGATTAATTTTTTCCTCGCAAATTGATGTGGATGGTCTGCCACTGTGGGCTTCATCTTCAACATCAACTTGTCCCTTCTTAAAATGAGTTATCCATTTGTAAACTGATGATTCCTTTGGGGCGATGTCCCCATAAACTTTTTGTAAAGCATCAATGATTTCACCGTTCTTCCACCCAAGCTGAATCACCATAAATTTGATGTTTGTTCTTGCCTCAATTTTAGCAAAATTCATGCTGCTCTGATAGGAGCTCTCTTCAAATTGATGTCTTATACTTCTTAGTGTCTCAAACGAGATCCTGTTCAGATATGTCAAACAGGTTAGTACAAGTTTATTTTGGTGCAAAGAAAAAAAAATTGAGATCCATGCATAGTTTTTTCATAATACATATTTTCCATGAACTTTTGAAGACTCCTTGTATATGAAATACCTACTACAAAACCCAGCTCTCTAGACATTAGTGGTCCCAAATAGAAGAGAGACAATGAAATATATCACCTACTAAATCCTATGGTAGTAAAAAGGACAAAAAAGGAGCTGTTGTTTCTGTTCAATTATAAGACAGGGATGAAAACCATGAAGTACAATGGATACAATACAAACACAGAGATACAAAGGAAATTACCAAAAGAGTCAATTAAAACAGTTCAAAGTCGGGCCGGCCCGTGGCTCACTCGGGAGAGTGCGGTGATGGTAACACCAAGGCCCCGAGTTCGGATCCCATATAGGGATGGCCGGTTTGCTCACTGGCTAAGCGTGGTGCTGACAACACCAAGTCAAGGGTTAAGATCCCATTACCAGTCATCTTTTTTTTTAAAAAAAAAAAACAGTTCAAAGTCATTATGTGCATGTATAACTTAACAATAAGAATGAATTGTGAAGCAAAACAAATATTACATGTCAGGCTCTGTTCTAGGTTTTTGTTTTCTTTCTTTTTTTTTTTTTTGGCAGTTGGCTGGTATGGGATGGAAGCCTGGACCTTGGTGTTATCAGTTCCACACTCTAACCAACTGAGCTAACCAGCCAGCCCCCAGGTACAATATTATATAAATCTAAAGTCAACCTGATTTTCTTTGTAAGTAACCTGTGTTTCTGTCAGGTGTCTGTAGGACTTCCCTTTGTCACTGTAACTCAAAGATTTAAAAATATTCACTGCAACATTATTTATAATAGCAAAATATCAGAAATGATATAAGTACCCATTTAAATAATGCAGCTGTGAGAAAGAATGAGAAAGATCTTCATGGGCTAATACAGAGCGTGTCCTAGGGGGGAAAAAGCAAAAAAATGCAAGGTAAAGAAGAGTGTATATAGCATGCTACCCTTTGCACAAGAAAAGATTTCCAAAAGAAAGGATTTCCATTAGAAAGGAGAGGTAAGAATTGGAGGAAAAATATATAAAAATATTAAATTATATATATATGATCATTATATATATACATATATATTTTTTTTCTTTCCACTTGTTAATTTTTCCAAAAGGAAATGATTCAGGAAGGATAAACCAGAAGGTAATACTTATTTTCCTAGTGGGTAGGTAGAAACAAGAAAGAAGGGATAGGGAAGGGAATGAAACTTGTCCAAGGAAACTCCTTATATAAAAGTTTTGACATTAAAGCCATGTTATGGGGCCGGCCCGGTGGTGCACTGGAGAGTGCGCCACTTGGGAGTGCGGCGGCGCTCCCGCCGAGGGTTCGGATCCCATGTGGAGACCGGTTCCCGCTCACTGGCTGAGCGCGGTGCGGGTGCAACAGCGAGGGTTGCGATCCCGTTACCGGTCAGTAAAAAAGACAAAAAGGAAAAAAAAAATCACAAATATTT